CTCCACCCCCGGCGACGGACACTGCAGCTCCTCCAACCCCCACGACGGACACTGCGGCTGAACTAGAGGACCAACCCTTGCCGGTATCCATAGCCCCTGTACAGAAGAAGAAATCTTGTAAGCGGCAGTCAAGTCGTTTAGAAAGCGATGATGGAAAAGTGGGGCCATCATAAGGAGGGCAGGAGGAAGAGGAAGAACTCATAAACGAGACGGAAACCACACGATCCCTATCCCTGAATGAGTTGCGAGGTATGCGGAAAGATTTCAGCCGTCGTCCAGACGAGCATATTGTTACCTGGCTGCTCCGATGCTGGGATAATGGGGCCAGTAGCCTGGAATTAGAGGGGAAGGAAGCTAAACAGCTGGGATCCCTTGCTAGGAAGGGGGCACTGACAAAGCAGTTGGAAAAAGGACACAGGCCCTCAGCCTCTGGAGGCGACTGCTGTCAGGCGTGAAGGAAAGGTATCCCTTCAAGGAAGATGTTATATATCGCCCAGGCAAATGGACCACTATGGAGAGAGGTATCCAGTACCTGAGAGAATTAGGTGTGCTGGAGGTGGTTTATAGTGACCTGGACAACGACCAAACGCCCAAAGATCTAGATGAAGTCCAGTGCATGCGACCCATGTGGAGGAAGTTGGTACGGAGCGCACCAACATCGTATGCCAGTTCGTTGGCAGTACTGTCCTGGAAAGAGGAAGAAGCACCAACAGTAGATGACGTGGTTAGACTCCGGTTAGCAGACACACAAGAAGAACACATGAAAGGTATGATTTTACTGAAGAGTATAATTCAAGTACTTATATGCATATTTTTCCTGAAGAAGCAGCATATATTTATATGAAGTACTCATTCATTATGTCCTTCTCCATCATTTATATATTTTTAAATTATAAGGCACTTTGGTTTTGGTCATTCTGGTGTAAAATCTGTAAATTTCTGGCTCTTCTGGATATACAGCAACATATTTGTACCTGAATGGTACCAAAGAGATTAACCATGAAATCCTTATTCTTGTAAATAGTAGCATTCAGCACTGGATACTAATAATGCATACAGAATGAACCAATTGATTTATCATATGATTACTCTACAAAACCAGAATGAAGTATATACTAAAATTCTTGATTGGTGATTTTTTAAAAATTGCAGTAATTTGTTCATTAATAACATTCATTGGAGCAAAACTCAGATTTTTTTTTTTTTTTAACAGCATTTTCCCCTTCTCTTTTTTTTTTTTTTTTTTTTTTTTTTAAAGACCCTGGGAGAAAATATATTGCTCTAATAAGCAGTCACTTAATCATTTACCACATCCTTCAAATTCTGATTTAGTTAATTTATGATTTATGGAAAAAGTTAATCAGCTACACTTAATTAGCTATCAGTCTACATCTAGAGTCAACTGCCATAAACACCATTTATGTATATAACCAAAGAATTGACAAATAAATATCAGTGTGAAGAACAGATTAATGAAGAAATTTTGCACACATTAACACTTAAATATTTACAGGATAGTTAAATTTGGTGTTTAATACATTCAAAACAAATAGTCTAATCTACTTCCCTAACTTCTCAGATTTTTCTTATGTATTTTTATAGTACTAATGCAGTTATTTTGATTAAATACACATCACTATCTTTAATTAAGCTTTAAAATTATCATCATCTTTCTGCTCATAATCTTTGAAAATACCTATTACTAGACAAAAAAACCTTTCAATTTAAAAATATTACCCTGTAATTCAGTGGTGACCCTCAATTTAGTAATACAAAAGTTCATTTAAATTCAATAACATTATCTGGGACAAAGAGGCAAAGGAAAGAATTCCATAGCAGGTTAGGTTAATTTCTTTTGGTTTAGCTTTTGCTTTAGCTTCAGAGGCTCAGATCTCTGTTGAAAAAGACATATCAGCCCAGATGATATGTTAATGACTGGACATGTGCTTAGGAAAATATAGACAAATAGCTCTTGAATACTGACATTACTGACAGCTCTCACCCTAAGGAAGCACTTGTACTTCTTTGTAAATACCCTGCAAGAACTTGCTAGTAAATGTAAACAGGCCAAGGATCACAACAGCCAAAAAGATGCTATAGCACCTTGTATATATACAGTCTACCGGCTAACTGCATCCATGAGCTTGATGATCTTTTTGCAGACTCATTTACTTCCTAGTAGTTTTGTGTTGAAGCTACATGCACTAGGACTCTGGGTTTTTTTACTGTACATGAAAAGGTCATTTAAGTGCATACACAATGTGTTATCCCCTCAGAGAATACATAACTTAATAATGTAATAGCTTTTATCACCTTTTCTCTTGTGTTTGAGCTATTTTTCTGGTACCACTGCTGTTAGACATGGCTTAAACATGAATCAAGTGCCTAACACTCCATCTATTCTTGCTGCATTTCTCAAGAGCCTGTTCTATCCCTCATCAAGGCAACACACCTTTTTGAGTGCCAGCTGCTCACAGACTGTGCCTTTCCTGAGTTACTAGAGATAGAAGACACCATGTATGAAAAATAATACAGTCTGTGACAGCTGATGTGAAAGCCAAAATTAACAGTAAAGAGAGACAGCTTTTCCCCCCCCAGTTTGCCTTTGCAAGCAGAAGGGAAGAGAAGTGATTATACCAACACATAGAAAGCTCTCTCTGCTCAGAGACCACCGCTGAGTGATGTTCTCAGAGGCTGACTGGACTCCCTCCTGAGCGTTCAACTCCACTCAACAGAAGGTGATGGCAGGGAAGTAATACAATTGTTGCCATTTCATTCCTTGCCCCTTCCACCCATTATGCATCATCATCTTCCACACTGAGGGAAGCAGAAAGACAGCAATTATCTTTCCCTTACCTTTTTTTCCCCACAGCATTGTTGCTTGTTCAAAGCAAATAGATAAAAAAATTTAATTCCTTTCTGGAAAACTTCCAGAAGTGTGGTAGCCTGCATAGGTAAATACATTAGCTTCAAAAATGGAATCAAATGCTTTCCTGCTCTCCAGATGCAATCAATTAGTTACAACACCCAAATCATGTCAGGACTTGCTTCCCTTCCTGTCTTAAGCTTTCAGAAAGTCACTATCCAATAGCTGAACACTATGTAGACACATGCCCAAGGGTGAGAACAGGACAGACACACAAAGCCTTACTGGTCAATACTGTCAACAGGTCCAATTTAATTTAAAAGAAGCAGCATATATTGAATTGTGAAACACACTACCTTTAACCATCTATTGTTAGTTAGTCACAAAACCCCGTATCACCTAAGACCTGTTGGATAGAAGCTTTTAAGCTTTTTTTTTTCCTCCCCCCAAAAGGGGACATTTATTTCATTATACATTACCTTTTTGTTCAGACATTCTTTTGATGTTCTTGCCTTAACCAATAGCTGATGTTCCTCCACTCCAGCTTTCTTGGCACAGTCTTAGACCAAATTAAGCTGATTATCTCACCAAAGCCTTATGTTTGGGTATCAAGACTGGTGATTAAGAGCAGCAGCTACACTCAACTGGTCTCTGGAGTCTCTCAGTCTCCCCTCCCATCCAGAGGAAGCAGAGCTAACTGTAACCCCACTAGGCAAAACATTCATCTCCATGAGCATTTATGAATCTATTGTTTTCCATTGCAGGCTATCAAGGATGAGAAATATTGAATGACCAGAGTGCTCTGGTGAAAGATGCTTGCTGTCGTCTTTCACTCACCAGAATATTTAGTACCACACTGTTTACTCTATATCTCAAAAAAGCAATAGCTAAACATGTCATTGCTCCAGTGTTTTAGAAAAACAACAAACAATTCATGTGGTTAGCTTCTAAACATGGGTGATAGCTCAGTTATTCCACTTAGATGAGAGGCAAGCACTCACCTTACAAGCACTCCTCTGTCTCCTTTAAATCTGCAGTTCCACAATACAAAGCTGTTAGCAACAATTCTAACCTTTTCTTCCCAATAGCTGCCCCTTGTATCTGTATCTATTCAATGGCATACTAAAACAACTATTTGCACTAGCCACTGCCAAATCTGTAAGATGATTCAGGTAAAAGATTTGCCTTTAAAATAACCAACCTTACAAAATTTTTCTTTTTTAAAATAGGATGAGGACAAAGATTTGTACCACCGTACTCAAGAGGACAGTGAGCTGAGATCAGGGTCAAGCAATAGAAATTAAGCCAATTCTGGTTTTGAACACATTGCATTGTAAAATCATGGCCTAAGAACATACAGGGATAAGAGAGGATACAGTGAAACCTGTCTCCATAGAAGCAACTATCCACTGGTGTAGGATCCATTCAGAAACCAAAACCACTTATGGAACTTGCAGCATACGGAGGAGTCCAAGGAACTGAATGTAACAGTTAAATTCCATTATCCCATCACTTCCCTCCTTATACACCCATTCACATATCTGAACCAGGAAGGCATTTTAGTGTCTCAACACAAACAAGGCACACAGAAAATCTTTGTGACACTTAAACAGCAATACATACTGCAAAGGTATCTAAGACTTCGGGATTTGTAAAAAGTAGCTGGAAATTAATAGATATTATCTAAATAATAACATAACTACAAGTCTGCATCAAGCATCATTTCATTATGCAAATCCTCAAGATCAACTGTAGTCCGAAGAAACAGGTAGAACAAATTTGTGTGCTTCTGCTCTTCTTTGCTACTTTTAAATCAAGTAGGATTCTTAATTCTGAAAATATGTAGGAATATAAATCCATCACTGTTCCATTTGTGCTTTTCAATTTTATGCTGATCTGGGTATTATAATTTAGTGTCGTTAGTACTCCTAATATAAACTGCTGTCACATACAGTACAGTGTTTTCAGAACACATAGCTATGCAACATTTTCACATCCCACTGCTCCTATCAAGAATTTTCCTTTGATGGGTTGGCATATAGTTTTTAGTTTGTGGCAGGGTCCTTGAATTCTTTACCTTATTTTTGGTTGTAAGCAGTTCTTCACATTTTGTATAGCCTTTATTTTAACTGTGGGTGAACTGGGTTTTGTTGCACATGACCAAGGCAGGGAAGAAGGAGCCTTCCTGCTCCACCTGGTGAGACATGGTTGAAGGCTGATCAGGGAAAAGCAGGGCTCCCAATGAGCTGCTGAGGTGACTCTCTTATGTGTCTCAGCTATGTAGATTTTCCAGAGAAGATTGTTTAAAAAGTAAAACAAACTAGACCCCCACAGTCACAGCTGCAGATAGCAAACACCTCAATGCTTTGCATTTTTAATACCACTGAAGTGTTCTCAATGCTTAGCCGCATATAACTTAATGTATTTTCAGAAAGACAGTAACAAGGAATCTTACAGACCACCCGTCTGTCAATTTTGCTGATCCACTGAGCACTCTAAGAAATGTTACTTGTTCTTCCTATTGGTCTCAGTTCTAATTTCTTTAACGTCTTATGGATGTTAAAATTAAAGTATCATGCAGGCAGCACACTGCTTGTGAACCACAACCTGGAAAGTCATTGTTAAAGGTAATGCAAATAGCAGTAACATCAGACTTTCTAATGCCTCCTGTTGCAAGATGGAGTTCTGTTGTTCGGAGCTCTGTCAAAAACTTTCTGTTCCATGCTTCTGTATGCGTCTCATTTATTTAGACTGTTGATCCACTAACACTTTAAACTGGAATAAGCTAGAACTGCCCCTGCTCACGTCTGCTCTTCCTTTATGCTGACACAAAATATTTGAGCATCCGCTAAGTTAAACAGACCAGAAAGCTGAGCTAACCTGGCAAAATGTTTCGATTTTTAACCCAGATCAGTTCCCAGTCTGGTTCATTGAATGGCAAGAAAAACTCTTATGATGACCCAGGGAAGTGGACAACACAAGGAAAGCAGTGATCAGCTGACAGTGGGAGGAGCACTGCTTCTTTCAGTGTCCTCCAATCATCCCTGAACCTATTCAATTAACCAAATACACAGAAAACTAATGAAGGCAAAGAGTGGGGCTTCTTGTTTCTCAATTCAATACAGGGTTCAAGACAGCCTGTTTCAACAAAGTACAGTTCCAGAAGAGATGGAGAAGAGGAGATGAGAGCAGCCCCACAGCTACAACAGGGGGCTGGAGATGAAAGAATAGGAAAGAGACAAGG